CCACCAGTGCCGAACAGCTGCAGAGTGGGGATGACATGGCGATGAGGGGAAGGTGATAGTGACCGCCGCGCTGTCTCGTGCCGCCTGAGAGAACTTGTCCCCTGTTTTTAGGGGGTGTCCATCAAGTCGACGGGGTGAATTTTCTTTCTACTGAATGCTTTTCATTTTTTATTTGCTTAATTGAAATTTAGTCGACTGTAGAACGAGTGGAAGGGAGAAGCCAGATCTTGTGGGATTTCAAATTACAAAAATTGAAAAAACTATACTTTTTCAAAAGATATGCTCCTAATGAAACTATACTCTTATAATCGGCTAAATTTCAGAAAGAAAAATTTATGGAATGTTTGAATATTATTAATTCATGAATTATATAATGAAATATCTAAATCCTGAAATTTTCGAGCGATTCCTATTTTCCCGCTCATGACGCGGCGCGGGCGTTCCCGTCTAGGGAATTTTCGTGTTGTCATTATCTGGACTGAATACCCGAGAATTTGAATTCGTCTCAACGGATATAAACAGTAAACAGTGCTCATTACAGTAACAATTGTTGATCCCAGGGTTTCCTCGTTTTTTTAGTCGTTAACTCGAGTTTTAGAGATAAAAACATGAGTGAATTCAAGACGCCGACGTCCAGGAAATGGAGAAACAGAATCGAGGGGAATTCCGAGCACCAGACACCCATAAAAATTCCAGCTTCGCCTTTTTTGAAACAAATAGGTTACGGCTGTGGTGAGAGGATCTGAAATTCGATCTAAAATTCATTCAATTTCCTCGATGGATTAATCGGATTTTTATTCTAATTGAGATTCATTTTTTGGCATTGAAGGGGTGAATGTATTTACCCTGACGCGATCACCGAAGGTGGGACTCATCCGCTCGCCCTGGGCCATAAAGAAGAGGAATACGTCGGTTTCGAAAGACAAAAAGTATGACGAGAGGATCAGGCTGGAGGCAAATATTCTGAGGGTTCTTCAGCACCCGAATATCGTAGGATTTCGAGCCCTCACAGAGTCTGAAACTGGAGTTCCCTGTCTTGCTATGGAACAACTGGACGTTTCCCTTGGTGAGATTTTCAATCAATCAATTATATAAATTATTTTTTTAAAATCTTCATCACCAATTTATCCAATTTATCATGTGAAATTGCGATAAATATAATCGAATTTTTTGTTTGCCTGAATTGAATTTTCACGTTAAAAAAAATTATACATTCTTCTAATCGTATAATTTATTAATATATAATATATTAATAAATATAATTATTAATTTAATTTCGTAATTTATGCGATGATTTATTTGATCAGGGGACATGATCGAGGACAGAGTGAGCAATGGCGAGCCACATTTCAAGGCTAAAGAGATCGAAGGAATCGGTTTCGAAGTTGCAAAAGGTCTTGATTATCTTCATCATACTGCCCACATTCTCCACGGAGATCTTAAGAGCTACAACGTCCTCGTCTCCAAAGATCTCAAGACTGTGAAGATCTGCGACTTCGGGGTCTCCGTACCTCTGACGAAGACTCTGGAGCTCGACAGGTCGACTGCTGATTTTGATTACACTGGCACCGAGTGCTGGAACGCACCGGAAGTCTTTACAGGTGCTTTATTCATTGCATTTGTATTAATTTCGTTGAGTGCACGTATGAAAAAATTCAATCGAAAGAAAAAGTACAGCTTCTGAAAATTCCGCCAAGACCTATTATTACTATTATTTTTTATTGATTAATTTATTCATTTGGTTTTACTTTTATTTTAATTATTTTATCGAATATTTGACAGATTTTTCGATGAAAATATTCTCTTGAGATGTTTTCAATGAGAAATTCTTTAGTGAGGATTTTTCTGCGAAAAAAAAAATTGGCAGCGGTGGGATTCGAACCCACGCCTCCGAAGAGACTGGTGCCTTAAACCAGCGCCTTAGACCGCTCGGCCACGCTACCTCTGTTTTACACACACCCAAAAATTTCGTTTGGGAATTCCAAAATAATCTAAAAAAAAATTGACAGAAGAAAAACGTCGCAAAGTCTTGGAATTGGATTTTATATTTTTTTTTCCAGAATTCTCAAATGAATTTCATGAACTTTTCAATTCGTGATAAATTGTGAAAAATAATGAATTGAAGGGGAAATAAGAGGATTGAATATTCACAGAAGGTGCCATCACTAATAAAACGGATATGTGGGCGTACGGTCTGATCCTCTGGGAGATGATAGCCCTGTCGCCCCCTCACGTAGAGATCGACGAGTCGATAGACGAGTCCATGTTCGACGGTTCGTTCCTGGGGAATTCCACAGACGAAGGAGAGAACGACGACCCCAACGGATCATTACACGACAGTCTCTCGGTCTTAGAGGAAAAACTTCGTTCAAAATACGGTAAAAATCCCCTTAATTACTCGATTACATAAACAATCAGTAAAAAATCAGGGATTATTGACATAAAATTGGCTTTTCGACCCCAGGAACTCGTCCAGCCCTCCCAGCCATCGAGATCGGCCCAGAGTATGACAAAATTCTCGAGATATTCTTCATTTGCACCGATCAGGACCAGAAGACTCGCCCCAGTGCCAAGGGAGTTGTTTTATTCTTCAATAATTACATTTTCAATTGCTGCAAATCCACTGGAGGCCCCTCCACCATGGATTGCGATACTTGAATATCTTTTCTATTAGTAATTACACCTAGATAATTATTGAAAATTAATTAGACAATGCAGCAATAATTTTTCTGTCGATTATCGAATTTTTATACTTTTTCATTCATAAAAATATTGAAAATATCGATTGATTTTCATTTTTTCCTAATAATTAGATCTGGATTATTGTTAAAAATTAGGCGATGAATAATGGTTCGGTTGATTGTCGAGTTTCTGAAGTTTTTTATTCATAAAAATATCACTATTAAAAGTAGAATCAGCATAATAACCACCAGGATACTCAGACATTTGATTTTTCTCTGTGAAATTGAAGATTAGAATTAGTTTTTGAGATTTCGAGGAGTTTTGTGAGGGATTTTACCTTTCGATAACGATTTTTTCGTCTCTCAGCTTTCGAAATGTCGGTTTTCCCACTGTCTACGTTGTCTGTTGCCTGTCCGGCAAAATGCTCGACGCAATTTAGTTGCTCACCCTGAAAATTTTTTATTTGAATCGCAATTTCTTTGAGGGTGATTGGGATTCTCTTAAATGAATGTTTACTTGTTTTTCCACTGCAAATGCCATTTCCACGAATATACCTCTGATTTCTGTCAGAGATTTTTCTAGTTTCATCATCTCGGTGTGTCTCATCTGAATTTCTGACAGCTGAGCTTTAGCTATTCTACTCTCTTCTAGAATCTGTGGATATCCATTTTAATATTTGATTTGTATACTTTGACATTTTTAATTATTTAAATATTTTTAGAATTGGGGGAATAAATGGGACTCACGTTATCCACAAAAAGACTGACTTTCTCGCCTTCTTCGGGATCAGACTCGATGTACTGACTAGCATTTTCTTTTCTAACTGAAAATTATTCGAGTATTTAATCAATTAATTAAATGTTCATAAAAAAAGGAAACGAAGATCGTTTCTATTGACAAATATATGAATTTTAATTCCTTGGAATAAAAAAAATAAATAAAAGATAAACATAACAATTAATTTTAAAGAAATAAATTAATTGAACTGAATTTTGTAATGGCAGAATTTTTTTCAATTGAAATTCTCACATTTTTGTGCCTTGCAGAATTTTTATTTTTCATAAAAAAATTTGCAAAAAAAAATGATAATTGGAACAATTAAATAATCTCACGTAATCTCTTCTGTTGATGGTAAATCGAGGAGCATTTGGCGTGATACTTCATGATCGCGTCGTTGTACTCCCTCATTATCTCTGAGAACAATTCAAAACTCGTGACATACTGGAGGACTCGAATTCGCGCATGCGCAGTGCCTTCCCTCGCGGCATCAAGTGTGAGTTCCTCAAAATTGGGGATATCCTTGCTCATATCTGAAATCACCATATATCCGAGGTAAGTCATCCTCAAGTTGTCCCTCAAAAATCCCCAAAAACTCGATCAAAACTCAAAGAACCGTTTTTTCCATTCAAATTCAGCGGAAAAGCGCGCGCAAAAAATGTGAGGTTAATTTGGCGGGAATGAAAATAATTCCAACAGTAGGACAAAAAAAAAGTGATGGACCCACTGAGGATAATTGATTCCCTCCATTTGGAGAAATTGCCTGAGGCTTGGGTGTCGTCCATTTGGGACGGCCAGTTCCTGATCCTGGAGCGCCTCCCCGAGGATTACCGCCTCCAGGTTGAGGACCTGGACGGTATTCTTGGGGAAGTGATAAAAGTCCTGAAGACATCGATGAGGAAAACCAGACGGGATGACCCGGAGGATTCCCAGGAGGCGGTGGTCTCGTGGCAGACGTTCACCGCCAAGAAGGTGAACGCTCGTTCCCTCCTGGCAGTGCTCGGGTGCCTCATGAAAATCGGTCATAATCAGGATAACGAGGATGCACGTCAGTCGTGTCTCCTGGGGACGAGCCTCTACTTGACTTTGTTGGCCATCCCCGGGAGTTCGGTATACGAGATCTTCCACGAAAATCTTTTCCAGCTCGCTTTGGATACACTGAGACTCTCGGAGGCACTGGTCACCCCAACGAAGAGGTCGAAGACGCCCCAGGAGTTGGAGGAGCTCTACGAGGAGGATGATCACACGACGGGCCTGAGCCACACGCAAAAGCACAATCTCATGATGAGTTTGAATACCATCATGTACGAGATGATCGTCTTCCTCGAGGAGTTCAACCTCCTGGACATCCCGCGCTCCCTTGAGGCGGTGATCGGTGCATTGATCGATGTGACGAAACTGGGAGGTGATGGAACAGTCCAGACCCCGAAGAAAAATGCCCCACCATCGGCGTCCCTCGCCACCCTGACCCACAACGCGTACGCAGCGCTCAAGGCCACCTGCCATCCGCGTCACGGCCCCATCCCCATCACCATTAAGCTTATCATCAAGAAGATCTTGACATTTATGACGCAGAACTGCTATAACGATCTCAATACCAAAAATCTGGCCAACGTCCGGAAAACGACGATCCACTTCCTGTCGACGCTCGTTGAGCCCCACCAAGAGGCGACGGAGGCCGGAATCCTGATCTTGGTGAATCAGATAATGATTCACTGCTCGAAGATCGCGGATGATCGCCGGAAGGAGGTGGCCATGATAATTGATCTCATCAGGATCCTGAAGACGAGGCAGTCGATGGACGCCATCGGCAGGGATTTCCTGAGGTTCTCTCACAGTAGCAAGATAACTTGGAGAATATTCGCCCAGGAGATTATCAATAGATACTTGAAGGTGTGGGAGGACCTGGGGACCATGGAGGGTCGAAACCTGAGGAAAATTCTGTTGGGGGCGGTTCTGTGTCACTGCAACGACGCGTCGAGTCTCGTTCGGGCGAAATGCATGTCTACCCTCTCAGAATACACGGAGGTTCCGGGGAACCTCTTCGTCGGGGAGTTATTTACGAAAGAGGAGGACGGAGCAGTTCCCTCTGTAGAGGACCTTGAGGAGGCGGTGACCAACCTCTCGGAGGATCTGGACATCCTGCCGGGCGTTGACGCCATGATCTCGATGTTAAAGGAGCGAGTCGAGGACGAAAGAGCGGCCGTTCGCATTTCGGTGATTCAGATTTTCTATAATTCCGTGAAAATTAATGAGAATATCCTGACGAATGTCATCGACATCATCTCCGCGCATTGCCGGGACCCCACATTAACCGTCCGTATACGGGCGATTCAAATCCTGACGTCTCTCTTCGAATTATTCCCTCAACACGAGACCTTCTGCACCACCTGGACGAAATCGGTGGTACCCCAGGTGTTCGATGTCGAAGTAAACGTGCAGGTGGAGTCCTTGAAGGCACTAGAGTCCCTCACCCTCAAGAAGATATCTCTCCCAGATGAAAACAAAGATCTGCCCTGGAGAGTCATTGGAGAACTCACCAGGAGCAAGATGAGGAAGCATCTGGCGAAGGCCTGCGATGCGTGGACAGAGACCGGAAATCTGACAGACCCCATCCTCAGGAAAATCCAGTCTGAGATCGACTCGGAGCACAACATCGAGGCATGGATACTCCTCTCCGCCATTTCCCAGTGTCGAATCATCCCGGATATGCAGCACCATTTCAAGAGGTACGAGGATTTCTTCGAGGCGGACGACTTTCTGGAGCCCGTCTTCGAGGTCCTCAGAAGCTGCTGCACGAGCTTCGACCGAGATTTCCTGAAGAAGATGCACGAAGTCTTTTTGAAACACCTGGAGGACTTCCGTATCAATGAAAGATTGATCAATATATCCCTGGATATTGTTCACCAGATCTCGACATGCCTGATGTTGAACCAGGAGATCGTCGAGTCCTTCGAGGGGAGGATGGGGCACCTCGTGGCCTCCGCCGAGAGGATTATCTCCTCGATGATCACCCACGAAGTCTCCGAAACCACCTGCATCAGAGCGATCTACACTCTGGGTCACGCCTCGCTCCTCTGCTCAGTGGAAATTTCTGTTCCAGTTTTGCGAATTCTTCAGGGTCTCCTCATTTCTCAGGAGACGATCCCCATGTGGTTTTCGGACTCCAAGCGACTCCAAGCCTGTGCAATTGTCGCCCTGGGCCAGCAGTCGATGCGCAAGGAGTCGATCGCCCACGAGATGATGACAATTTTCGCTCAATTGTTGTGCACCAGGTCCTCGGCCCAGGCCTCCGAGGACGCATCGATCCGTGTCAACGCCGCTAAAGCCCTGGCCGACGTCGCAACGAGATTCACTGCCCTCGTCGAGCCTCACCTCCCCGATATCTGCGTCTCCATGAAAGACAGCAACCCCATCGTCCGTGAGGCAATCGTCGTCATCTTCATTCAACTCCTCGTCGAGGACTACATCAAGGTCAAGGGTTCTTTCTTCTTCCACATCCTCACGATGCTGACGGACCCGGAGGCCACCATCCGCGAGATGACCGTCTTTCTCATCAAAGAGCGGCTCCTCATGAAGAACAAGGACCTCATCTCCCAACAGTTCCTGGAGGCAATCTACCACTACAACGACTTCGAGATGAACAATAAATTCAACAAGCGATGCATGAGAGATCACGAGAAGATGGCCCTGCTCCTCAAGGGTGAGGATAACGCTGCGAACCGGAGGCTCATTTATGACTTCCTTTTGGAAAACCTCGACGTAGCGGGCAAATCAAAATTGCACCAGGTCCTGACGACCCAAATCTTCAATAATTTCCTCAGTGGAAGCGTCAAGGTCACCCAGGATGAGGCCCTCTGGGTGCTGAAGGACACTCTCTACGTAATCGCGAGTGACCACCTCCAGGTGGGCAGCGGGGGACGATCCCAGGGCGAAGACGAGGACGAGACAGAGGGTAAGGTCAGCAATTCGACGAATGTTCATCTGGAGAAGATGAAGAAGCATAGGCTCTTGGTTCTGCTCCCGAAGATGGCGGAGCTGAGGCGGAAGGTGACCAAGTCCGAGGTGGAGGCCGACGTCGGCAGAGCTTTTGCGAAAATCTCTGCAGAGTTCGGGAAGGATCAGCTGACTGGACTATTCGTCGAGTTTCCGTGGATTGAGGAGGAGATCGAGCGTAATGGCAGGTGAGAAAATAATATTTTTTAACACCCTTCAGAAAAGTTCACTTTTCGTCACGGTTTCGCGTGCACTAAGTGGCGCCATCAACTCCTTGCAATTACCCTTATCGACTATTACAAAGAATAATAACCAATTTAATACAGTATTTTAAAAATCCACTTTGCGCACTAGTGCCGCAATATCCAATTCTCTCTCTCCGATCTCCCCGAAAACGTGCATTTTTTCGTTTTCATTTTTCTTGAGAACCGCTGAAGCAAATTGGACAATTTTTTTTTTAATTCTGGCTAAAATTTTCCAATCTATCGAATGGGAGCAAATTCAACGCGTTATGTTCAATAGTTAATGAACTAGAGCCGTTAGTTAATGAAGTAAATGTTCGGAGCTCACTTTTCTCTGGAGATAATATTTTTTTTTTCTATAAATTTTTCGCCGGGCAGATTGTATGGAAAAAAAGTGCCTGTGGAGGAGGAGAATAATGACTCCTCTCAACCAATTGAAGAATTGACGCAAGTTAACCAGAGGCATCCACTCCTGAGCAATAGAACCCCAAGAATCATTCTGAGAAGACTCTCATCACTGACTTATCCAGGTCTCCATTATGGCCCGAAGGCTAATGAGGGGTCCATCAACAGAACTTTTTCAACTCCAGTAGTTGTCTTGAGTGATTGCGTGCGGGATCTTAATTTAATTGACAAACCCAAGGCCACGAGACGATGATGTACACACGTCATACTTACAATAAAATTTTTATACAACAATTTGTTTATCTCGAGAAGGACTCGAGCAGGAAAAAAATGTTACTAAAATTTTTTGGAGGAAATTTAATTCTGAAGTTTTTTTTTCTTCTGGCTTTTCCCTCTAAATCCACTCATCCGTGAGATAATAGGGAATAATGGAAACGATTATGAGGTTATAAATCATGATTACCTTTTAAACTCGTGCGAATTTTCACCGAAGTCTGGGATATTATGAACGTTCGACCCTCGAGTTCAGTCTGCATATCTGTAATCCTAGTTTTTTATCAGTCCAAGGGCGTAAGAGATTGTCAATTGAAATATTAATAGAGTTTAATTGAAATCTGAGAACGAGATGAAATTCAATGGGAAATTTTTACACGAACAATTTCTAAACAATTCCTGAGGGTTTACCTGGATTCGTGTGCAGGAGCTCATTGTTGTGGAGTTTCTTCACAATATTCACATTATCCTGCAGAATATCCAACATTCCCCTGATTTTCTCAGCCTGAATGACAATCAGATGACAAATAATTAAAGTGAGACAAATCTGATTCATAATTATCTCGAAAGCTATGAATTTCACGTGGATAAGTGAAAAAACCTTTTTTCTAGCTTATTAAATTTTCCACAAAAAAGCATTAATTATATTTTCTTATAAAATCAATAGTCTCCGGGAAAAATCAGTATTTAATCGAACGCTAGAATTTCACTCGTCAAATTTTGCCGCTTAATTTTTTTCTCAGTTGATTCATTCAATTTTAATTTTCAAAAAATCACTCGCCTGTTCTAAAATATCCTTCACCCGTTTATTCTGTCCGATTTGAATGCAAACATCTTGTAGAAGTCCTCTTCCAAAATTAGAGTCCCTCCTGCGTCTCTAAAACCACAAAATCGTCGGGGATTTAATTTCGTCACGTTTTCATATTTTAAAACTCTAAACAATCAAATGCATCGACTTTTCTTCACAGAAAAAGGCATTAAACGGTTCTAGAGACAGATTAAAATAATTTAAGACACTTTTCCCAGGGAGAAATCCAAAATTTCCAAAATAGAATTGTAAAAATCGAAGAATTGAGTGAAAAAAAAAATCACTAACTGCACACAAATCGGGCAATCGATCTCGAATCATGCCGGCACCACCTCGGAGAGGTATGACGATAAATTAGTCGACAGAAAAAATAAATGGCCTTTATCAGGCTTATCTATCTCTGTACTGATATCCGATAAGTCGACAGAAGTCTCGGCATCACTGCGGCCTTCTTTTCACACGACGACCCACATCCAAGACGATTCACGATTAGTGCGAATACAATTTACATGTGTTTTGCAAACGCGAGGAAATGATCACTTGGCAGATGGTTGCGAGGACAAGACTGTGAGGTAACGAGACAAAGTCTCTGATAGATCGCAAAAAAAAAACGTAAAAAACGGAATTGCAATTACCCTGAACTCACAGTGATCGTATTCCCTGGGGTAATCTCGAAGACTGTTGATTTCCAGTAGAAACCATAAGGAACTTTTTTGATGGCAATCTATTTCCCGACAAAAAACATATCTTTATATTTTCTCGTAAAACCAATAGTTTCTTAGATAAATCAGTTTTTAAGGGAAAAATGGATTTTTTTGAGAAGAGATTTTTCTGGTTTATGCCATTTATTCAGCGAATGTTTCGCGGTTTTTTCATAACTTCGTAACAATTAACAAGGATTATGCATTTGTTTATAATAAGTTAGTAGGAAGACTGGAAAAATAGTGGTTTATCGTTAAATTCGATTGGATGCGGTAATGAGGAATGAAATTTAATGATTTGTCGTGAGGAATTTGAGAAGTGGCGAAAGCTTATGGTTTAATCAGTTTATATTGTTCCTCCATATTTACTATATTTTTTTAACGACAATTTCTATCTGAAATCGAAAAATTGATAAAATCTTTACCTTCGCGGCAATTAATTCATTTAATTCATCACTTCTCAAATCCTTTCACAACTTATCAAATATTCTTAATATTCCATGAACACTTCAAGATGATTGATCAAAGGCATTTACAGTCTTTACAAAATATTAAAAACAATGATGAAGTCGTTCTGAAGCTAGTGGACGGCCTCAGGGAATGACATTTTTTCCACAATAAATATCTCTTTTAATGTCATAATGTCCTCGGTATTTACAGTTTATCCTCTATCTCGGTCTCACAAGGGATAATGATCAGATCATTATTATCAAGTCATCACTGACTCGAAAAACTCGTTCTCCCATTCAAAGGAATGAATTTCCACTTTTTCCCTCAAAATTCAGATGAAAATCGGCAAAAAAATCGGTAAATTCCATCAACAAAATTATTTACCAAAACACGGTGATCAAATATCTGCAAAAATCCAATGGGTATGCATTGTAATGTTTTTTTTTAATTCTGGGAAAATTTCACGATTTTTCTGCCGATTTTTCTGTTTTTTTTAATCGATCGATTGTTTCAAGATTTTGAAATTGTGGATTTTTTTGAGACGCGCATCAGCGAGACGCCGTTCTGGTTCCGACCCTGTCCTTCAGGTAATTGGCGACCTGAACCTGGGAGTGCCTGAGGGCGAGCTGAAGGGGCGTAAGTCCCTCTTGATTGGTGAGAAGAGGATCGGCACCAGCTCCGACCAATTGTCGGGCCACAGTCATATGTCCTGTCAGGGCTGCGGCATGCAATGCACTCTCTCCATTCTGCATTAAAAAAAAAAATATTTGTTTAACCATTAATTTTTAACAATGATTTACTAACACAAACCAATCTTACAATATATATCTATCAATATATGAAGATATTTTATATATTCATTATTATTTATTTATGTTTTATTTTTATTTTTATTTTTTTTATTTTTTATTTATCAATATATTTATTTATTTCCTGTAATTTATATGAGGTATAAAGTTAATTACAGCTGTAAGAAGCATCTGGCAGATTAATTGAATTGCCTCCGGTGAGTAATTCGAGTGGATTTATTCGAGGAGTGAAATATACCAGAGGGTAACGAGAATTCAAGTACTTCTACTTTTAGTTAATTTTTCTGATAACTTTTGCTTTCGTAGAATGAAAAGTCTGATTTTCGATTTTTTAGAATTTTTTGCATTTTTCAGATATGATTTCTCAATGGAGACCAATTTTTGAAAAATCGTCGGATGTGTCGCAACCAAAAATTCTGAAGGTCTGAAGTTAAAAATCACTTAGACACTCGAAAAATTACCGGAAGAATCCCGAGGGAGGGCCGGTACTTGAGCAGTTCCCCGATGACAGCCGTATGCCCCTTATGAGCTGCCTTGAACAACGGAGTCGCTCCATCCTGGAAAAAAAAACCGAAAACTCATAAATTTTCGGAAATTTCCGACTGAATAAATTCCCCAAAAAAAATATATCACAATTTTTTGGGGGGACGATTCATTGAATAATAATTTCCGATCAATTCGGTTCATACAATTCCAGTATCTTATTGACAATAATTTATTACTGTCATGGAGGATCTGAAAATGGTGCGAGGTGGGGCAATGATTTATCGCCCCATTAATTATTTTATGATGATCTCATTTAATATATAACTTTAATAATTTTTCTCAATGCTGTAAGTAATCGAATAGAAAACTTTGTCATTAAAACCGATATTCTCTGACGGTACAATGACCAAGTGAACACAAATAATTCTAATTCTAATAATTTTACATATAAAAAATATTGCATTGTGTATAAAAATGTGTGTGCTTAAAAAAATATATGGGATAACAGGACTCATTAATCTCGGTACTAACGTGTCTGGTTGTGTCGACCTTGGCCCCAGCCTTGAGCAATCTCCTGACAGCATGATCATGTCCCATTTGTGCTGCAATCCACAATGGAGTTGCTCCATCTGTCCTCGCAGCATCGGTCTTTGCCCCTTGCTCCAGCAAAACCTCCAGAATCCTCACATGACCATTCTGAGCTGCTATAAATAACGCAGTTGCTCCATCCTGCAACAAAAAAAAAAACAAACAATACTGCTAATTACACATTAGGATGATTAATAAGTTAAAGTGCAATAATCAACAAGAACGGTAGAAAAAATAATTTTGATCTCTCGAAGTGATTACATACCTTCATATGCGCATTAGCATTTGCCCCCCTCTCGATCATGCTCACCACCACATCTAGATGACCGCATTGACATGCCACAAAGAGGGGAGTCCCCCCGTCCTATCGATGAGATCAATCGTTCGGAATTAGAACAGGCGTCAATCAAAATAAATTGAAGGAAAACAGTGAGTGCCACCGTAAAGGCAGCTTATCTTTCTTTTTATAAAAAAATACTAGGAATAAATAATTTATGTTTAAAATTATTGTAAATAGTATTTTTTATGAAATCGGTTGATTCACCCGCGATCGCAAAATTTTGTATAATTAATTACTCATTGATTACTTATTAATTGATTAACTGATTTGATATCGAATTGGAATGCGAGAGATTAATGGGGGAGAATTGCATGTTAATTGATTAATTGATTGATTAATTTATTGTTTCGTTGCTGTAAATTATGTTATCCAGAAATTGCATAATGAGTCATTGCCAGTTGATAATGAGAAAGAACTATTTTTTAAAATGTGAGAAAGGAAATTAAAAAATTGATGAAGTACTTACAATGCTGCATGAGTCGACTGTAGCTCCGTGATCAATTAATAAATTAACAACATCGAGAAAGCCTCCCTGGGCTGCAAAAAATAGAGCAGTCGTGGAAGTCTGCAATGTAAATTTTTAAAAACTACATAAATTATTCAATTAATTATTAATACATGGAGTTAAATGAAATAAATATTAAAATTAAATATTCAATTTCATCTACAGAATCAGAATTTAAAGAAATTAATGAAGAGTGGATAATTGCGAATGCAATGAGAATCAGAGAATAATAATAATAATAATAAATTTATTCCATTCCGAATAATTTTTTATTTCATTTTATAAAATCATGATTTTACTATAAACAATGCATGATCTCAAAAAATGATTTTAATCACTTGAATAATAATAATGAGATGCTATTTAATTAAATAAAAAATTAAATAATGAATGTTTTTTTTTTGTTTTGGAGGAGGAATTTGGGGTTTTGGAAAAAACATTGGGGACTAGTTCTAGATTGAATAGAAGACAGTTATCTTAACATTAATATTCACTTGCGTCATGGGTCAAAATAGTCCATATCCATTACAAAGCCGCTGAAATTCTAGAACACTGGGATACAAGACCTTCATACTTGCCGTTAAAAATTGGAAAGAGATATGGACGAGTCTCACGCGAGTAGAATTTTAAATGGACATCACCTGGAATTTCTACTGAACAATTCCAATCCTCTTCATTAACATAAATCAACAAATGCTGTTTAAACCGATGTTTCGATTATTAAAAATACAAATGATAGAAATAAAAATACGAGGGTTAAAAATTACAATGACTTTCCAATAAATTCTCATTAAAAATTATTAATTAAACTAATTACTGATTACAATTAATGTAACAATCTGATAGACAGCCTTTACCAATAGTTAATGCTCAATGAAAAATTGATAATTGAGTGCGAAATTAATGAAGCGATTTTCATATTTATTTTTAATTGGCAAATTTTTGGGGAATCTATTTTTGAAATCGCGAAAATTGAAGGAAAATGCGAGAATTGTCGGGGAATTGGATTTTTCTGGTGAATTATTTATGATCATGGGGAATCAGGAGAGATCAGCGGAGTGTTACTAACAAAAAATCACTGGCAGAGGCTGTTCGGAATTGCGTAATGGTCCGACGGTTTTAAAATCCGAGTTAACCGTTTTACGTAATTCCCTCAACGTGTGCGAGAGGTTCCTCTCCTCGGAGAGGTCAACGACAGGAGGATTCGTTCGAGAGCCTATACCCCCCTCTTTTAAGCCCTTTTTTTACTTGTTTTTCCGGTTATTTTTATCTTTCCCGCGTCCATAAAGTCTAGGAAAAAAATTCCCAAACAATGAATTTTATCTCCCACCGAAAAATATATATCACACTTTCTCCCATTTTTTTTTTCTAAATTTCTATTTCAAAAAAATCCATAGAGTCATTATTGCTTTCAAACTCTCATTTCACCGATTTTTTCTCAAATTTTTATATTTTGATTATTAAATAATTTGCAATTATTTATCAATAATTTGTTCATTATTATTATTATTTCATTTAAAGGGGTAATTATGGGCGCGAAACTCTCAGTGTTTCAATTTTTTTCATTTTCATATTTTAACAATAAAAATTTCTATTTTATTTTTCAGGTCTTTTTGTTTCATGAATAAATTTAATTGGGGTCGTTAATGACCCCCACTCCCACGGTATGAATTCCCCATGTGGCGGGCGAAAAAATTCTATTTGTGGAGGAGCACTCGTAAATAACAGGGTATCATGGGCGAAGCGGAGAGAATCATTCATCCTCAGCCATTCATTATTCTTTTTTCGGGTGGACGGCCCCACAACAAGGGGTCACAACAAAACTTACCAGCCTTTTGGCATTGGGATCCGCCCCTTGTTGCAATAGTTCGGTCACAGCCTCAACATGGCCCCCAGCCGCCGCCAATATGAGCGGGGTCGTGCCATCCTGAATTCAAAATCAATTTCAATTGAGCCATTTCTCTCCAATATCACCAATCGACGATGATGTCATTCAACAGGTCGATAAATTTCACATGGGATTAAAAAAAAAACGGTCAATTTTGACCCATTCCTTCAGGAGCTACAGAGAAAACAAGATTTCACTCCGGCGCGTGCGGAAGGGGCATTTTCCGCACTTGTCCACAAAGTTCACTTTCCCCCTTGCAAAGCGTGGGAAGATGAAAAGACTACTTTTGTCTGATTGGTCGTAGGACTTTTAAAATATGATCTATTTCGATTTTACTCCCGCCGTGCGATAAGAGAATTTTCCGCACTAGTCCGCAAAGTCAAATTTTCTTTCTGCGAGCCCGGAAAACCATTCTGGTAAACAATCATTAATCAGATAAAATAAAGATAATTTGATAACAGGTTTCGATACTAATTCGCTCTTCCGTTCCGCCCTAGAACGAAAAGTTCACTTTTCTTTCTGTCGGTAGCGCGGGAAATGCAAATTTGATTTTTTTTTCGAGTGAAAAAACGACATATTCCGGTTTGTTTTCACTTTCAATGAGTGTTTATTATTTCTGGGAAACATTTACCTTGTCTTTACAGTCGACGTGAACCCGTCCGGATTCCAGGAGTACCTGCAGACGTTTAGAATCGCCACGTGCCGCTGACAGGTGCAACTCCACGTCCCACGGGGATTCCTTCTATTAATTAATCAATTAATTAATCCACTCAAAAGATAATCGAATCGATTTTGAAAGTCGATGTGCACGATTGAGGGCACACGCCTGAAAATATTCAATAGAAAATCGTAGCGCTTTCTCTAAATTTTTTTCGAATTTCTGATCGAACTTTCTACAAATTTCTGTTCCAATTTTTATCAAAACTCTGTCAACTTTTTCCGCTAATTTGAGTAGACATTTAATAAACAAAACAAGATTTTTCCATCGAATTTCTACGACCCATTAATTTTCTATACCCCAACCAATTAACATTTGCATTTCATTTAAAGATCACTAGAACGTCTCGCGCATTCCACCAATTATTTCCTCGTTTCGACACGTGTAAAACCCCGGGCGATCGTCAATATTGATAAGAAATTCTCTATTGACATTCACCGGGGCCTAAAAACCACAACTCCAGATGAATTCCACGCAACCAAAGAAAAATCCTCAAAAGAAAAATTAAAAAACGCGAAAAAAAAATCGCGATTTCACGGAATGCGGTTGCAATTACCTTCATTGACATATTTAATAACTGGAAGCGGTTGGAATAAGTGGATATTCGCGAAATGAGTCTAAGTAAAATAAAAAATCAATGGAAATTTCTATCAATATTTTTTATTGGCACATCGCGGCACTTGTCACTGGCGCCTGTCACTCCGCGAAATCATGACGCGAAGAGATAATCGCGATTTTTGGGTGATTTGAGAGTGCCGATGGATTGGTGGTCATAATATTTGGGGAGGAGACGGGGAATACGTCAGTGACGGCGATCCGTCGTCCGATGACTGGCGGATCCTTTCCGCGGCCCTCGCGACTTTACCTGAGTCGATTTCTGAGTTGGAGGGGGCAGCACGATCCAATTACCCTCATTTATTCCACTCCGCATAATTTTTTATTCAATTTTAAAAACTCATGATTTTACTAGAAAAAATGCATGATCTCAAAAAATCATTTTAATCACTTAAATTTTATCATTTCCGTTGAAAACGCTTTAATCAATTTATTTATTCAATCTATTAGTGTAATTTAGTGATTTGATTTATTAATTTAATTTATTGACTCAATTTGTTATTATTGATTGCCAGTGATTGATAATGATTTTTCGATCGATCGATTCATTCTGCAATCGTTATTTGTTCGATTGTTAATTTTTTTTTTCAATTTTTAATATTGATCACTTATTGTGGATTATTTTTCTAATTTGCCATAATATTTTTTCACTTATTGGAAAATGAATTCTCCCGCCGAAACTATCGAGATGGCAGCAACAGTCGTCGATTCGATATATCGAAAATCGCTTCCTGGCTCCCCCTTTCCGGTTTGGAACTCAGCGTGAGAATCCACACACTGTGCGTAAATATAAATAAATTATAATTTTATTAGTACCTCGGGGGTAGTTGCGATTAATTTTTTAGTGAATAATTAGTGATTTTCCTGATTTTTCAGAGACAAAATGGAAAACGACGCGAGAGAATTCGTCGATCTGTACTGGCCGAGGAAATGGTGAGTCACACGTGGTTTTTCCATCAATTGTTTGTAAATGTTATTAACAATTGATTTATTAATTGATGTAATCGAAGAATTGGTTGAATTATTGTTGAAGGGACGATTTAGTAGGATTTTTTTGCAATTTTTCGAGGCAATTCCTCGGGTAGTGGAGGGAAATTAATTTGAGGTTAACTTTTGTGTTTTCAGCTCCTCAAGTAACAGAATTATTCACGCAAAAGATCATGCATCCATTCAGCTGACTTTAGCTGATGTGGATCCCACCACTGGACGCATGACTGGACAACATAAAATGTACGCGATCTGTGGAGCCATTCGTCGTATGGTAATTAATATTTTCAGATTCATAAAAACAAATGCCAGGAATGATACTAAATTTCGCATTATCTCCGCACTGAAGACTTCTATCAAAAAATGATGGGGGAATTTTCTCTAGGGAACTCAATTTACCACAAAAAATTTTTCTGACATTTTTGTCCCCCGTCAGTAATTATCGAGATAATTACACAATTCATTGAGCAGTTAAAAATTACGTATACCTCGGTTCCTCCCCTTTTCTGTACCCTTTCATTATTTTTCTATTATCTCAGTAATGGCGGGTTTTGAGAGAAAATGTCTTGAATGATTTTTTGTCGAGAATTAAATTTCCTAAAGAAAATTCCCTTGGAAATTTTTCGTGAAATCTCTTGGTAATGAGATAATCTGATGTTGAATGAAATTTAAACATGTCATGAGTAATGTATTAATAAAAAAAACTGGCTCAATTGATTTTATTCTTTTTAATTAATTTTCCAGGGTGAGTCTGACGACTGTATTGTTCGCCTAGGCAAGAAGGACGGAATTCTCACGAAGAATTATTAATTTATACCCGATCGACACTATTCCACAAAATGAAATAAAATCAACACAAAAAAAATGTTTTCTCTTGATTTTTCCCTAGGAATGAAAAAATCTCGTATTTCGAAAATGTTTATTAATCATCTCTCAATAATAATCCAATGAAAGTGGACAAAATCATGGAATTGGGTAGATTTGAAAGTTTATATACACATATAATACATTTAAAAAATAATTCGATGAGAGAATCAAGAATATTTGCATTTGGCATTAAAACTAATCTCGGTAACAATGATAACAGTAGTTTTTGATTAACTTCTCCGATATAAAAATAAAAGCTATATCTATAAAATAATTCTGCACTGAAGTGGAAAATATCTTTGAATATTTCATCTCATCAGAGCAGAATTAATCCTCACAATAATTAATTATTCGGCTCACGTCGTTCCTAATGACAATTAGAAAACACATAATTTCTGAATGATAAAAGAACAATTTATCCCTCAAAAAATATCAACAAAAGAATAATTCAGCTTAAATCACTAAAAGAATTAACAGAAAATTTTATAATTGGAGAAAATATTCTCATCTATTTCTCATTGCAAAAGAAATTAATTTCCCATTGCTAATTATGCATTTTAATAGTAATTGGGATTCTCCCAGTAACTTTCGTAATCCTCTCTCTCTCTCTTGTGAATATAAACCTATAAAATACAGACTCGAATGTCTGGGGAATAAATTCTATAAACAATGGGAAATTTTGAAAAAAGTGGTACCCTGAGTATTTAATCTGCACCAGTAAAAAATTGCTAATTATTCCACAGGCCCACTTTATTTTAATACTTCGTGTCTTCTTTATTCCTCGATTACAAAAGCTAAATGCCTAATCGATCGCTCATTACTCAATCTTCAATTAACGTTCAACGATTTATTTTCCTAATCGTCTCCCATTCTATTATGTAATCTGTTGTTGTCAAGAAAAGACTGTTATGAATTCCAAAAGTCGTTGATTTTTTCATTCATTCAACCAGACACAATATAAAGTAATAATATACAATGATAAAATCCAATTAAAATTAATCGGAATTTTTTCATCAAATAATTTTTGAGCTGTAGCATTTTGTTTTTTTTTCGGATTTGAAAGATTTGAAAAATCAAAAAATTATTTCTATTGTACATTTTTTTTTTAATATTCATGGAAAAAATTTTTTAACTCAGCAGTCTCAATGAATTATATGATCTGTTCAGTCTGGACGCAACTAAACATCGATTATGGGCTTGTGTCATACTTTAAGTACTGGTGTATCCGATAACGAGTGCACGCAATTGAATCTTCGATTCCTCAGGGTGGCGATGGCCTCCAGGAGATTGGCCCTTTTGCTGAAAAAATCGGTGATGGGGGCGCCATTGAGAGCAGAAGCCAAAAACTGCTCGACAGAAATTGCCCAGTCAGGATCAGCCGTCGAAGAAGAAGTCGAGGGGTTCCCATTGCGATCGGGAGACTAAAACAGAGGAAAAAAAATTCACACAACCGGTCAAAACGGAAATGACCAATTTTCTGATTTTCCGATTTGATAGATCATAAAATTTTACTTAAAATTGATAGAAAGACAATTTGTATTGAATTGAGATCTGTCTTTATTCTTTTATGTTTGTGTTTTCTACAGATCAGATCGGGGCGTTTCTGACCTGAGGACTTCAACTCACCCTCTGAATTTGAGCGCCGGTCTGAGCTTTTGAGGCAGCAATAAGCAGGCTGTCCTCTGATTCCTCCCTTTCGCCGTAGAATTTTTTTCCCACGTCTCCCAGTTGCAGCAATAATGTACCTGTCATTGTACGTTTATGATTTTATGAGCATAACCATGATTTTTCCCATTATTTAATAAGCTCATAATTTTCGAAATGATACTGAGTATGATTCTACGGCGATGGCCATTATTTTATGATTACATGATGAATGACTTATGATTTCAACTGTCATAATGGATTTCTACTTTATGATCGAAAAAAATGACATGATTATGATCTATAATCAGTTCAGAGCTAGACTGAATGTTATAGCAATGGTTTCTGCAATTATGGAATATATTTATGAAATCATAACGATCAAACTCTGAGTGCTATCATTGAATGACTCTACCGCTGACGCCATGACGCTGATTTGAGCCTTAAGTACTCACCTATCGATGCGATAGAGTGATAAATTTCCTGCTCCTCAGGCTGAGCTGGAAACATGTCATACAGTGTTTTCCACAGTGCGATGAAGTGCCTCTGACTCATTCTCGGGACATTCTTCATCCCCAGTGGACTGCCTTTGGAATCCAGCACAGATCTGAGACTTCCCATGCTCTGTACCTCCCAGCTGTCCTCCTTCTGGGAATTAACACTGACCGATCGACTAAGATTCATCTCAGGCTCCTCACCTGCGCTAACTGACATGTCGAGTGATCCAAAGCTCTGCTCCATGGTATCAAAGAAATCAGCAGCCTCAGCAGCGACCTCAGCCCCGTCGGAGTGGGTCGGAGAGTCGATGTCAACGGGTGACAGCAACGGAGGAAGATGAAGAGTGTAGAGTAGCTTGAGCCTCTGAGCGGCATCGGCAGTAGCAGTAATGCCGATCGCCTGAACTACCTCTCGAAAGTTCAAATATCCATCATGATTTCTGTCCATGAGTCTGAAGAGCCTCGCTGCGAGTGACTCCGCCTGGGAGCACTTGCCCCAAGGCGACAATCCACCGAACAAAATCCTAAACAGCTCAAAGTCCACACGATACGCTTCGTAAGGCGGCTGAGTCGGATCATAACGGTCAGGCTCGGCCTTTCGTTGACTCATTAGCTCTTCCCGAACGAGACTCAGAAGCTCCTGGAGCTCCTCCGCAGTCATATACTTGTCGACAATTACACTACGAATGACATTCTTCTCGATGCCCTCCTCCAGATGCTGGACAACCCTCAGACGATGCTTCAGCCTGAGCCTCTCGATCCGACCAATGGTTAACGAGCCGTACCTGGAGTACGCCTCGTAGATGAGGGTCTGGACGGAGATACTCCTCGGAGGGAGTGCCGAGTCGACAGGCCTAGGGAGAACAGGTCCCTCGTCATTGAAAACCCCTCCAAGATAGTCCGTGAGAATTTGCATAGCTTCTCCGTCATCTCGACAATTGAGTAGCTTCTCCTGATTCCACTCAAGAACCGTCAGTGCGATCTGAAATATGACCTTGGCACCGTCGTAGAAGAAGCAGTCCATGATGTTGACGGCGCTGCCCGTGGGCATCACGCTGAGAAAGATCGTGAGAAACCAGGACAGGGAGATGACCCTGATGAGGCCGAGCTCCTGAAGTTTTGCATGAAGCGTCGGTAGGTGCTCAGCAGCGAGTTCCTCCAGGAGGCCCTGATCCACAAGTGCTCCGACGACCCTCCGATCGTAGTAATCAGGTAGAAGGGATTCGCAGACATTGCACAACTGCCAGAAAGCGGACTCTTCCGAACAGTAGATCAGAAGAACCGACGCGACGATGTTCATAGCTTGGCAGTACCCTATCTGCGGGTTCCTGCTTGCATACGCAGATAGAACCCTCCGCAAGGCACTGATTCCGGTGTCCGATTGAAAAGCTGGATGCTCCGGTAGCGATCTGTGAAGATCTCTCTCGATTTCCTCATTAGCTTGACAAGTCCTTCCGATCGACTGATCCACCAGAGACTTGTACAAACCCGGATTCATTGCCATCTCGTTAATGGCCCCGGAGAAGGTCAACCAGACCTCCCCCCTGAGGGATTGAGGTACCCCTTGGATCACTAGCTTCGCGGTTTCCGTTGTCCTGTAGATGGTAACGCCACGACCAAATTCGGTAAAGTGAAGCTCCCACTGTTTCTCTTTGGCCTCCTGCTTAATCGACGCTTCCTGGCTCAAAGGGGCCTTGAACAGCGTCATCAGGGGCGGCTGGGGGCTCCACGATCGCGTTATCGCAGATGACGCACCGGGTGTCAACGAATTGAGCTTGGTTCTGGCAAGCAGTTCGGAGATCTTTTGAACCACAAAGTCACGATCTTGGATTTGAGCGAAGAGGAATGATGAGTACGGGGTTATCACCAGGATGGACTTGTCAGTGGGGCTGAAGGAGGCCTGTGATTGATCCGCAGCCTCCACCACCTGAACCTCACGCAGGGGAATTACCAGACTGACCAACTGACGAACGCGTGACTCAAAGCACAAGTAATTCTGCGATAGAAAGATCTTTCCCCATACGTCGCGCTTGTCGTACGGTGTCCAGAGGGTGGCGTCTATGCAACCGTCGAGTTTCTCACTACCCGGTAGGCGAAATTGTAAGCGATAAGCCTCGGAATGAGCGCGCGCGTCCAAATCCCGCTTGAGAAATGGTTTCTTCTTCGATACATTCTTCGACAGCTTGTGCAATAGCTCTCGATCCTCGTTGAAGCCGCTCTTCTCGTCGATGAGCCGCTTCATCGCGATATTCGTCAGCTGCTCCATCAGGGAGTACGTCTCTGATTTACGGAGGAACATGCTGAAGTGGTGCTGTTTGTTGTCGCGGGTGACGACGCGAATGCTGTCCGGGAATAGGAGGGAATTGGTTTTACCTAGCTCAATGATATCCGCCCATCGGATGATCAGCTTTGTCTCCTTCGTCAGGATGTACGCGTAAAAGCACATGTGGTTTACTGAGAGGTACAGCCAGCCCTGACGGGGCAGTCGACCCTTCCAGTAACTGCATGAGTAATAATTCACGAGTTTATCGTCACTGGGGAGGCCGAACAGCTGGTGATACGTGAACGATGCCGTTTTGAAGGACTCCGGATCCTCCTCTTCCGCGAATTGACAGTCCGGCACATTGTTCGCGATTATCGATTGAATTTTGCAACACACGAATTCGGTTATTTCGTCCTCCGTGTCGAAGGACTTCAGGGTGTCCATCAGGTTTGACTGGAGCCACTCCCAGTCCTGGAGGATCTCGTCGTGGGTCAGGGAGCATGCCACTACTGTGGATTAATATTATTTTTTTTTCTGGGTTGTCATCTTTGGGGAGAGCACGGGCCTGACTCTACCCATCTTTCGTACACCCGAAATCGTTCACCAAGAGGTCATTGTGTCAGGGTCAACGACTGATTATTGTTTATTTTTTATTTGCCTTTGGAAAGTGGGCGTTGGGTTCACGGTGGTTTTGTGGTATTATCTATATCGATCCTTATCGGTGGAATTGTTAGTTTTAATCTCGTGGTGATTTCGGTTTTTTCGGGAGAGAAAACTAACAACTAAATTTTTCCCAAATTAAAAATAAAAAAAAAATGATTTAAAATCAATTAAAATTGAAAAATTTTTATTAAAAAAAATTGATCTTACATATCCGCCTCCTAAATAATAAAAGAGCCCCTCAAGCCCGGGAAATCGGAAAATAATTTTTGATAATTCTAAATTTGATTAAAATATAAAATTAATTATTTTCTAGTACTCCATATATTGTATTTACAATTAAAATGGGTAGAGTCACTAGGCGACGGCTTTTTCCGGTGGATTGGATGTCCCCTATTACTTAATAACAATAATCACAGAGAGATGGAAAAACTGAAAAATTTCAATATCTCGAGAGCTAGAGGAGCAATCGCGATGATTTTTTTTCAATCCACTGGAAATTTCACCAGCTCTCTGACGCCAGTGCCCCTCTGGGAACTTGTAAATAAAAACATCTACTCACCCCAGTATACCTCTGAGGATGGGGTTTGATGGAGAATCCGGAACGGCGGGGGTTTCGTGTCGAAGACACTGTCGAGGGTACCGACGAGGATGGAGGAGAGTCCCTTAGTCTTGCCATGGCCCTTTCGACGTTGAAGTACGAAGTAGACAGTGGCTGCCTCTGTTACCCTACGAAAAAATATCAAGTGAGTCTTACATAATTTTAATTTGTTTATTTCCTACGCCTTCTCTCCCAGACAAAAATCAAACGTGAAAAAATAAATAAAATGAAAAAGTGATGAAAACAATTTTTCCCCTCGAGTATTTCAAGGAAATAATTGACAAATTAGACAATTGCGTCGGAATAAATCGACAATTTTGATTTTTCAGCCTCGGGGGAATGCGACGTGGGTTTTTATTGACGTCAGCTGTCTTTGACACTCGGAATGTAAACAGTGGTTTAGATGGAAATGGATTAGTGATTATTTAGAGTTTTACCAGAATGCGTTGGCGAGGAGGACCTCCTGTGGTTTTATCCACATATCGATGATTAGTTCTGCTGTACATATGGCACTAGGAGGCTACACACCCCTACGAGCACTCGATTGGTGAGCGATATTTAAGATTTTTTATTATTTTTTTATTGCGAGACTTTTTTCACTGGCCAGCAAATTATTTCCTCGTGATTATCCCAGGGCTTCACTGGTTATTGTCGTCGATCTCTCGGCGATTGAGATTTCGAGGGGGTGGAGGGGGTCTAGGGTTTTTTTCCTTGGGTGGGGATTTTCGGGCTGGGACCAGGCGGATACGCGGGATTTTTGAAACGATCGGATTGAAAAAAAAGATTTTCTTGTTGTATTCCCACATTTTCCACAATTTTCAATTGAAGGCTTTTCCCTCATTATTATTATTTCATAAAATGAGTTGAATGTAAATTTAAATGTTTTATCATTTGTTTGGGATTTTGAATAATATTGTATTGGATAGAGAATTTGGAGATGTGAACAATGATTTTCATTGGGAAATTGAATATTGAAGAAAGAAGGGCGAATGGATTTTCAAGATAATGATTTTTATTGAAATATAAGGAATCTGTACCAGACAGAACTAAAATTACTGTTGGATTTGGTACTACCGGGGTTTTACATATCGTTTTAATACGCGATCATGTGTGTACTAGCAACTGCATCCTCTCAATCATCAATACAATAATGAGTTGTTCTATAAGTACAGAAACAAATAATCAAAGGTACGCACAGTCTATTCTCAATGATAAAGAAGAAATGATCAGTGATTGAAAAATAAAATTCATTATAAATCCCAGAGGACTGATCACCCTTTACAACTTATAGTCCAAGATATTTATTTATTTACACAACTAAATATTCATTAATCAAGGAAAAATCTACAGTTAGTTTTACCCATTTCCGCTTATGACTCGCAAGGAAATATCAATCTCTATTTACACTTTTTACACATGGATTATTCATCCTCTTTACAATTATACAATACAACAATTAATGCATCATCATTCATCCATTGTCGTTGACGATTTGTCAGTTTGATTGAATTTTTGTTATTATTTCATCGGTTTTCAACGAATTTCAACAAAAAAAATGTACATCTGGAAACGAGTCGCCGCAAAATCCTCGATATCTCGAGACCCAGAGCACCTAGAGGGTTGAATTTTTTTTAGTCTTAAAGACCAAAGAATTTCCGATAAAAACTGTCAACAAATTATTTCTCTGTCTCTCCTCGTTCCGGAGATATTTGAAAAACGATTTCTTAACGATCGAATCGCTTTTCGGTTTTTTCAAAAACCCCTGGGACAAGATGCAGTCATTTTTTATTTCATTAATCGGAGAATTTCTCTGGCATCTCAGGGGCTAGAGCCTCCATCTGCTCAGGGGATCGAAATTATCGAGATAATGCGGTTTTTGGTGGTTTTCGGTGAGATATCACTCTTTGGTTAATCGGAATTACAAAGCCAATTAATTTTTTTTTTGTCGCAATGGTACACGTTCATAATACTATTCTAGTTATTGTAAAAACCTAAAAATTCGGTAATTATTTATAATAAATAAGCATCGTATATGATTTTGCGAATTTTTTTTTCTTTTTGTTGTATTTTTTTTTTACAATCTATTTGTTTTCTTTATTTATAATCAACTATATCACGGATTTACTGGTTTTCAAAGTGCACGAGTGTCACACAGTGTGTGTATACGTATTTTCATTTTTTTCATTCGATCTCTTATTTTTTTTTATATAAATAAAATTTTTGAGATGATTTTACTCTGGGTTGTGTAACAATTTGGTCGTGACTGGGCTGAGGGCATTCAAAATAGTTTCTGGCTCGTCACTGATCATTTTTACTTGAATTTGTTATTAATTTTTAATACTTCGTCTAGAGGATTTAGTTGAAGTGGAATTAGAATGAATTAGTGGGTAATCACTTGAAAACCCTCAACCCCTCAATTTTTCTCGTCCCTTCTTTCGAGATATGCTCGCAAAATCTATAATCACTCTCCCCCTCCCCCTCGAATGAAAAATAATTAAAAACTCAACGAGAAACAGATGAAAAACTAAATAAAAAAAATCCACTCGATTTTTTTTTCCTTCTATAAAAACTCCAACAACTATTTAAAATCGACTGACAAAAATAACTTCATTAGCTTTCTAAAAAAACATAATAAACAATTTGATGGTTAAATTATTCTGATTATCATCTCCTATTGCATTTGTCGGGAGAAAATTCTGGGAAATGAAGAGAGCGAATAAATTTCACTCCCCAAGAAGAATCGATTGTCTCAATAACCACTGGCTTTATTTTTATTTTTAAAAATGTTGCCCATTCCTGGGACATTTCTCTGTTTTTTTTTGCATTGAATGGAATGAAAGAATTATTGATAGATATTAATTAAGGAGGAATAATTGATTGATTTTTCATTCTCTTCATTTCCATTGACTGAAATAATGAGTTTGGGGATAAATTTATGGGATGATTTCGCCAGAATATTGATCTAAAAAATGTAATTTTTGAAAATAATATTGTTTATAGTATTTACCAGGACTCACGCCCCTCAGATCTCGCTCTAGAACTATCAAGCCCCTTCTATGTACAAAATAATGATAAAAAAATTTCAAATTCTCGTGTAATACTTGAAAAATATCTTCAATAATTAAAAAAAAGGTCTTTACGATAACAATTACACTCCCTTGGGGGTTGTCCACGCGAATGAGAAACAATTATTCGAGAGGTAATTTTACCACCGAATTTACCTCAATTGTAGTGTGAAAATAATTTATATTTACAATCAATCGGTTGAATTTCACTCTTATAATTTATCTTTACGATCTATCTCGCAGACAAACTGGCGAGATGGACAATTAATCGACATTAAATTCCGATCAATTGACTAGAGAGATTGATTTCCACCTCAAACAACTCAAAATCCCCCGTAAACTTCCCTGTAACTATCCAACAAGCTGTCGAATCGAAAAACGTCAGATAAACATTTTGCAGAAAATTTAATTCCCCACAAAAAAGTTCTTATACCCCTTTCCCCCACCGCCCACCCACTCCACTGAAATTTAAAAAAATGCCAAAAACGCCCCCGACTTTCGAAATGCACTCCGACATTTTCCCGATCATCTTCCAACCGAGTGATCCAATCAAAGAATGCCAAATAAACTTTTCTCTGGGAAATTGAATTCCCCACAAAAAAGTTCCCATGGCCTATTCCCGTAACCCCGATGAAATCCCGGAAACAACCTCTCATTACCTCAACTGATCATTTTCATCGTCAATCCCCTCGCCCCCTCTACCAGCAAAAACGAGAGAAAAAAAATCCCTAGTAATTATCAACGTCAACTTCAATAGACATCACTCTTGGGATCCCTCTCCCGGAAGAAGCCCTTCTCAGTCTTGCACTCCCTGATTGTCACAGTTTTAAGATTAACAGTGACATCAGTGATAAATACTTGATCAGCAACAGGAGTAATCGAGTGCCAGTAATCAGTGCCTGGACTGAGGGGCTTGTAGTCCTCGGCTTTAATAAGCTCAGGTGGTTTGATACACGTCGTATTGTTGTTGTGATGCCCATTAATTATCGACGTTAACCTGTTGTTGTTAGTGTAAACGTCTGTTGGTGATGGTGATTTGTGTCCATTGGTGTCTGTAACACCATTTGACTTCTCCAATTTTTCGTGCGGTCTTTTTTTCGGTGGATGCTCCAGTGGTGTGTCAAGCTGTGGTGATATCGGTAGAGGAGGTGCACGTGGAAGGGAAGGTGGTGGACCATGAGGTACATCAGCTTCAGGGCGTTTTTTGTCCTGAAGGGCAGGAGCTGGTGTCGTAGGTACAGCTGGCGAGGGCTCCTCTGGAGTAGATTTAACCGACGAAGAAGACGGCCGACGACCATTCACCTTGTGATTCTGCAAGATCAAGAATTGTCAGTGATTCCCAAGGCTTTTTTCGAAATTTTAATCGTGACAATGATTGAGTAATCGAGCCATGGATTCATCAATTAATTGGAGATTGTACTCACGTGATAAGAAGACGATGTGGCATTTCCCTTGAGGGGTAATAACCTGGGTAATTTGCTTGGTGGTGGACTGCTGCCTCCACTGCTGGGACTAGTTGTGATGGTTATGCCAATTTTTCCAGACTCTTTGCTCAGCACCTCAGATTTTCTCTTTATTCCTGGCTCTCGCCTTGGCAGAAGAGGTATGTCGACGCTGCTGTTGGAGCTGTCTGAATCGACACTGAAAGCTGATACTGACAGATCTGGAGGTGTTGGAGACTCATGACCATCCAGGGAACTGGCAATTGTATCCTCGTCTGGTACTGGATTCAGTCGTTGGGCTGAGGTACTTCCTGACTCATCCTGACTGTCCTCACCCACTCTCTCATCTCCACCTGGCTCCTCCTCCACCACCAGATTCGCCAGGATTTGTTCCTGTCAATTAAATCCATAATTAACCCCAAAAAGTGAAAGAGTTCCAATGAGTTTCCTGTTCTCTGAAGACTATTTCCCACTTATTGTTGGACGAGGAAGAAGCTAGAGTATTCAGTGCATCGAGAGTTGAATAATTGTAAGTTAATGAATTTTTCAATATTTTTTCGCCACTTTTTCTTTATTTTAGAGATTTTTTATAATCTACCGGAATATTTGAGATGATGATTAACAGGGAAATTTATTTTTGGTTTGAGATAAAAATTACATTCTTTTGGCTTCGGGGAAATTTTGATAATCCATTTCTATATCTTTGGGGTAATGAGTTGTATTTGATATGTACATTATATCGTGTGTCTGCTCTTCTGGGCCTTCTTGGAGCAATGTCACTCCCTTTTTGGCTCTCCTCGTACAGTTCAATTAGCCTCACATCGAGAATATTTTCCTCTGGTTCCCACGTGTTCCATTTCTTACTCCAGCCCTTCCATTTCACGAAGTACTCCACCTTCCCCTGGTGAAAATCAAACAATTCAATATCCAGTCACTCTGGACTCAAATAATAAAATATTTCCAATTCTCTTTCTAATAATTCCATAAGTCCATACATTTGTTCGTGTATAAATTAATTAATCAATCATCCAGGGAGGAGAAAGAGCTCTCTCGAATCATTGCCTTCTGATCAAACAACAAATAAACTAACGACTAAAACATCATTTTTGGGACGATGAGATCGTTGAAATGGAGTCAACACATCTCGATTCGGGAGTTCGTTTGATTTTTATATAATTAGTTTTAACGGAATTCAGTGCAAGAAAAATACAAGCAGTTCCATCGCAATAGGTTATTATCAAATTTTTGTAGTTGAGCCAAATTTTGATTGATATTTTAATCGCAATATCTGAAAAATGGAAATGATAAGGAGGTACAGAGTCTCCTGATCACTTGCCCATAGAACAAACACCAAAACCCCATTAATCCGTCTCGTACCGCCGTCTGGCGGTTCCCACTCACCCTTTTTTCCCTCTTCTTGAGTATCCGCTCGGCGGCATAAACGTTTCCAAGATCCATCTCCATAAAATTCCGTGACTCCTTTTTTTGTAATAAAAAAAAATAAAAATAATCCTCCACTCTCTCACTTCAAAAAACCTCACAACCACGTAATCCAATAGACCGCCTCGCCGATCGATATCCACGTGATTGCCACTTCACTTCACAAATACCCAAAAAACTCTGTTTACGTGAGTTCTCACGGCACATGCCGGATGTTTTCTATTTCACCGACCTCGAGGGGTCGCCCCTCAAAAAAAAAAAAAAAACCGAGAATTAGTACTTCGGTGAGTGCCACCTTATGTTTTTGAAACGGCGCTCACATGGAGTGCAACCGGCAAACACCAATTCACACGCACGTCCCATCGATGAAAAATCACTTTTCTGTAATTATCCACCAAAAAAAAAGAAACCACCAAAAACCACCGATTTTCACTTACATCCACCGATCCCTCAAACAAGGCGACAATTCCCCAGAAGTCACTAGTCGCGAAAAAACCCCAGGGATGTCAACGTTTGCACAATGCAGAAAAAAAACACACTCGGCAATAAAAAAAAAAATGCACAAAGTGGTGCTGCCAGTGGTGTCCCCTGGCGTGAGATAATCCCTAGTCTGTGACGTCAGCGTGTGCCGTAGCTTCTCCCTCGCGGCTCGTAAACACCAAACATGGCGGTCCCTGATCTAAACGTCGGTATTTACTACCTCGAGCACAAAAATTCCCCGTACGCAATAACACCAATAAATTATCATCAGTCGTTAAGACAGTCCCTTTGTCCCTAGGTGCTAGTTTAATTTTCAAACTAGTGATTTTCACTGTTCCAGATGCACCGGTAACGCAGTATCGTGTGGAAGGTGTCGGGTGAGTGCAGTATATATATATATTTTTTTGGGTAATTTTAATGGAAAAAAAATGAACGGCGTCTGGTACATTCACCGGATCGAGACGTACTAGTGTTGGAGGGCTCCTGCCGTACTTCCCTCGGCAAACATCGTCGGTTGGACTCGCCCGACCCTGTTCATACCCGAAAAGGGGGGGGCTTTTGTAATAGTGGAAGGGGGCGGGAGTGAGACAAATCCGTGAATAAGACAGAGAGGGTAGGATTAATATAGGTGGGGGGTAGGACAATGTGAAAAGCCGTAGAGGGACGAGGCCACCCCAACCCGAGAGCCCCTTTACGTGTGTTGAACCAACTGCGCGCGCCGCAATGCAGCGTTGCCAGATGTAAAAAAAATTTATTTCACTCGTTTATAACCCAACTGTCTCACTTGATCCACAAAGTATCCCAATATTCTCACAAATACCGTTGAAACATTATCACAAATAGCTATTCCAATGACACCGTCCACAAATATCATCCAAATCAAACAAGACACTCATGAAAATACGGCAACACTGCGCTGTCACTCTGCACTCTCTCCTCACTATCGAGATATGCCAAATCCTCCATGCACCTCTGGGTTATAACAAATAAATTTCACTACGTGGTTAAAAAAAAAAGTATCACTTGGTTACGAGAAAATAGTCTAACTGTCTGAACGCGTGCGACCTCGACGATTCCCGAGACAAGAGTGTCCCGTCCCTCTCGGGGTCGCTCTCACAGACGCTAAAGTGTGACTGAGAGAATAAGAGAGAGTGAGAGAGTGACAAAGAGACTTACCCTCTCCCCCAGGTATTGCCGTAGAGACAGGGAGTGAGCGAGACAACGGGTGAAAAAAAATTGCACTTCACAGGGACAACCGTTGTCCCATTGGCCGCCAGGGGCTACCAAGTGCCGGTTCACCCCCCACTCGAGGACACATCGACCAATCCCAAGCGAGACCACGTCCCCCTGTTGAGTTACCCTTCTGACGTTGGTGTAGAGTGGGCGTCGACGGAATTACTGTTTCTGGTCTGGTTTTCCCTTCTACGTTCGTTGGACTCAATTGCCGGGCCCTCTTACCCCGGCTCCCCCCTCACCCCTAATCGTGCCGTGGCTCTCCTGTGCGGTACCCCCCCTCCCCCGTCCGCCAACCTACCCCGCACCCACCATTTGCCGAGCTTCTGTGGCGCAAAACGGGTACACTAACACCGGCATCACCGGCCTCGGGCCACCGCACGCCAGACAGAGACATACGTCGAGTGCGAATAGGGGCAGGGGGGACGATGAGACATGAAGGGAGGGGAAAGGGGGGCGCTGCCCCTCTCTTTCTTGACTGTCGGTATTGAAATATCCTGGCCCTAGTGCGACGATGCCGCTTCTACCACGCTACGCAGCGGTTCTATTCCCTCTCTCTACCGAACCTTTCTGTATTAAAAAAGGGGGGAATAGCCCCCCCCCCCCCCCCCCCGCTCTTCCCCCCCATTCCCCCCTGGCCAATGTTCTCGTGAATAACGAGTGACGCTGCCGGTTACCGAGTGTTGGAGTTTGCGTTCTTTTTCTTTGGGTTTGAAAGAGGTCTTCCGTTTCAAATTTTTTTTTACAGGGGAAGGGGGATGACTCGGGGGCTTAGGGGTTTTGAACTGGGGTGGGGGAGGACGTTGCAGTGGGTGGGGTTTTATTGGGAGGAGGATTTCCGGGGATTTAGGTGATTTTTGAAATTGCGGTAGATTTTTGGAGTATTAGGGGATGGATAGGGGGGAATAGGGTGGAATTTTTAGGTAGGGACTGTTTTTGGAAATAATCTTGGGATTTGAGATGGGTTTTTTGGAATTCCGGGGAAATCTAGGGGTTTGCGAGGGCTAGGGGCTCCTAGGGGTGAAAGGGGAACGGGGGTAGGGTTGGGCTTCATATATTTTTTTTTTGTTAATTAAACAAATGGAGATTGTGGATCGTAGGGCGAGGGTTTCAGCGCGTTTTCTGCAGGCTTTGTTATTATTTTCATGAATTATTTTGAATTCACGGGGAAATTCAGAGTTTTCCAGGGTTGAGGTCAAGTTTGCGGAAATGTGGGAGAGTGGAAAGGATAGGGTTATGTTTGCATGAAGCTTTGAAGTTGAGGTTTAACGGAAATGCGAAGTTTCCGCGGGAACTATCGAGCCGAAGTTGGCATGAAGTTGTCTGCATGTGTTTTAGGGAATTCAGAGTATGCTCTGCGTTTTTATTCACCGGTAATTATGAGTGAACTCTATATTTTGAGCTGATTATGGGCTATAGGTTATGGTTGTAGTAGTCGCGTCAAACCGCAAATGGTCACGCAACAATACGCGCGATGACCTCAACACGAGAAATCATCTCATGCTGGAGTGACTTTGCCTCCGGAGGCGAGGTTCACGGATGATAGCAATGCTGATAGAGGGAATACAGTGTCTCGAGGATCGAAGACATCCGGTTCATTGTTGAGCTCCCACTCCTCCAAGTCTAGTGTGTGAACTATTTCACACGGAGATAAAAGTTGGATAAAAATAGCTCAGAAAATCGTGGGGAATTTCAAGAGCGAAAAATTACGCCGAATCAATCCACTCCAAGTAGATATACTTTCCCGGAAAAATTGGAAAGCCTTTTTTCTTTTTTTCCTTGCGTGGAAAATTCTCGTTCGAACAAATAGAAAATCTCACCGATTTCGCCGGCCTAGACCTCAGATAAAATATAGAAATGGTTTCCGTGGAGGAATGAACTGACGCCTCGGCGCGCGCCTCCGATATTTCCAACGGGCAATTTCGCGTCAAAAACGACCATCTCGTATCTCACGAAATATTCAGGTTAGAGATTCAATTTTTTTTTCAGTACATTCTGTATCATTTGTCACGGATTACCCCGGCGTCTCATAATTTTATGACGATTGGTTCTTTAGTTATCGTCAATTGAAGGTTTGAGGCCGTCCGAGAATATTCAGCAATTTTCCAATTTTTTCACTCGTTTTTCACCGACAAATTCATTTTTTTCCGTCGAAATTTCCACAAATTTCCATTTCTCATATTTTTTATTAATTTATTAGCCATTTTTGGGGGTGATTGGTGATAATTTTGCGATTGTTATTAACAAATTTGATAAATAATCTCTCAATATTCCGGGTTTGGGGCGAGGGACTGATTGTGGGGCAGATAATTCGGAAAATTTCTGGGTTAGAATGATTATTGAGAGATTTTTCTAGATTAAATCACTGAAAAATGTCTCGCGCACGGTGAGAAATATTTAATTATGCGATAATTGAAAATATCCAGACGATGACATCGTCGGGGCATCGGACTTGATAAATAATTGCGCGCAATATATTCGCTCAGAGAAAGTTAAAGTTATATATGCTAATAATTATATGCGACACGTGCCTGTCATTAATATACATATTTGGCTTATGCGCCGTTTTCCGTGCGTGTTTCTGACAGATAGTTACAACATTTAAGAAATTCAATTATTTTATCGAAGAGTTCTACTATTGATAATATACTATAACCACTCATGAAGAATAACGATTTTTTTGAGGGAAATATTTTTGCAGCGAGTCCTCATGAAATCACAAGAAGATAAGCGCAATCAACGGCTTGATTAGTTTCAAGTAATTTAATCTCATACACGGAGAGAAATATTTAGTAAAAATTACGGAACTTTCAGTTCACTTACCGATTACGGAGTTGATTCGAAAAATTTAAGTGACGGTATCGTTATTTTTCACCGATAATTCAGATAAAAATTACGGAACACCGCGGAAAAATTCCGTGACTTTAGTTAAAAATTACGTGACAGTTCCGTAAAATTTCCGACAACCACCTTTCGCTCCAGAATTACGGAAAATACACGTAATTTTTATTGAATATTTCTCTCAGTGTAACAGACGTTGACTTTCATCTAATAATTCCATTTACTCGACAAGAATCTGCAAATTTACTCACGCGCAGTAAATATTCTTCACGCAGGGAGAGAAATATATTCAACAAAAAAAGCGTATCTTTTCCGTTATTCCGGAGCAAAATTTCACGGAACTGTCACGTAATTTTTATCTAAAGTCACGGAATTGTTCTGCGGCGTTCCATAATTTTTATTTGAATTATCTATGAAAAATGACGATACCGTCACTTAAATTTTTCGAGTGGATTCCGTAATCGGTAAGCGATGTGAAACATCGGTAAT